GGGCGTGAGCTTGGGACCAGAAACCACAGGGGCTGGTGTTAAGTGTACTTAGACATAAGACTGAGGCTGGGTGTACATACATTTTAGTTTTCTTTAGCTTAAATGGGATTAGTACCAACAAGTTGTAGCGTAGGTCTAACGCTGAATCTTTTGACTGGGAGCTGACCCTTTGCCCTGTTAAGCCAAAATTGGTTGTTTTATCAATTTCCAATTGGTTGCAAAGAAACTTCAGGGGGTATTTTAATAAAAGGCGTGAGAGTTTTTGAGAGGTGAGTGAGAAACTGTGATAGTTCATCAGGTCATAGGTCATGTCCATGAACATGTTGAGGTTGAATGGGAGCCTCAGGAGGGGGGCTGAGACGCTTTCCATGCCATCAGCTCTGGTTTACCCCACACTTTTTGGACCTTCCATTGCTTGTGGCTGTTCTGACAAATGTGGAAAACCCACCAGTTTCAAGAGAGGGACTTCCCAGACCGTTCAGGGATCCAGTTTGCCAAGTGTTGCTCAGGGTTGGCTTCTGCTAACCTGGTTTGTTTAGAAATGCTCTGGATAAGTGCCAAAGGGTTGAACAAGGTGGAATTATAACCTTTACAGTTAGGTACGAGCAGAATATGGTCATACTTCAGAGAACATTACACCATGAAGAAGGGATGACTTCTGTGCTTTCCAAGTTAAGGTGTGTAAAAGGAGAAAACCACATCTCTGCTGGGTCAACCTGATCAGCCAGGAGTCCAGAGAAACCTGCTGATGTGACATAAGCTGTCACCAAACTCTGATGCTATGGAGAGTCCAGAAAGCGTGTTGCCATGCTTGTCATTTTGTTTGTCATGAAGTAATATTGCCCCCCTTTTTTCCCTATTTTGTCAATATAGGAAGTACACTGACAGGCAGTTCCCGCTGATATTTTTCACTGATACTTTTGAGGTATCTCGTGAGACAGGAGGAGTTTGAACTGACAGCCTGCTGTATAGCTGTTTAGACGTATAGATGTATGTTTAGAATGGCACCATTCATTGCTTCCTGGCCCAAATTCTGAGCAATCCTCTCTTCAGTTACCCTGAGACTGTGAAACATAACCAAGAAAACCCTTCAGTGAGCGAGTAGGAGTTGCCAACTGTTATATATCAAAGGTACGCACGTTGGACTTAAAGATGGAGGGAATGAAGCATTCTCTTGGCTGTTTGGACTGTGGAGGAATCTGTAAGAGCTTCAGGGGCCAAGAGGTAACACCAACCACATCCTCAGTCTTCTAGGCTTAGTATTTGTAAGATTTGACCCTACTCTAAGCCTCATGTCTGCCACGTTATTGACTATCTCGGTCACTGATGATTTGATCCAGTATGGCTGTTAACTAGCTGGTTTACTAGCTCATTTCCATTTATAACCTTGGTTTCGTTATTGTATTGCATTACTCTTGGTTAATTCAACAGCCAAAAAAAAAAAAAAATTCTTTCAGGAAGAAGTCAGCTGGCTGGCTTATTCATTTCTAATCAATAAGAAGCATAGAGGGCTGTTTTGTCTTTGGAGTTTCAGCAGGGCTGGTCACAAAGGTACTGCGATTTTGAACTATTTGACTCTCTTTCTAAAAGAAGACTTTTCTGCTTCACACTGGTATTAAATATTCAGCCTGCCCTCTGACTCCTCATCCCCCCTGCACATTTGGAGGAGTCTGAATTTCAGCGTCTGGTTTTTGCTATCCTTAGCCAGTAAAAAGATATAATACGACTTCCAAAATACACAAAGTGCGCAAGAGCTGGTTTTTACCAAAAGGCTGTTTTTTGCAGAGTCATTTCTTGCTTATAACTGCGTATTAACAAAGCCTGAGGGACCTGTAAAATAGATTTGTGGGTCCAGAGAGGTATTTTTTTTTTTCTTTAAGCGCCTCATATTTCACCTGTATTTCTGAGGACGAATCCTGAACAGAAGAGAATCAATTAAACAAAAAAGAGAAGTACAAATCTTTATCCTCCAGTTCTGGGTTTAACCAGGTATGCAGCAATATAGTTTTATCACTGAAGTATCCATTGCGTTAGAAAGCTTTGTTTACATGAGCATAAGCCCTGGGCTGATGGATAGGGCTGTTTCAATTTCACTCAGTCATTCTCGCTATGGATTGTATATTCAAGGGAAAATCCTCGCCGCAATACTGGACATGCCACGCTCTTAGCAGACTGACGTTTATTAACTAATACAAAGTTGCAAATGATGTACAAACACAGCTAAACAAAAGATCCCAGTGTTGAGCCTGAATCAAGGTCCTAAATCATAAGCCGTGGTGTGACAAACTGCACAGTGTTTGCCAGTACTTTTAAAATGGGGCTTTCTTGCCAGGCTGAGAATCCATAGAGCCCGGCCAAAGAAAACAATGGGAGGGAGCCAGGGTTCTCCCAAGTCTTGGCATGAAATCCACAATAGTAGCTTTGGCCGAGGTCCATGGACTCAAGCACATGCTCCATAAGGTCACTTCAGAACACCCTAATTACTTGGTATTTACTTCAGTGGGTTCTGCAGACAAAAATAATAATAATAATAATTGAAAAAAAAGCCACCAGCACAGTTTAGGGACTCTGTTACAATCCTAGATTTTTGCCATCTCTCTACCCTAGTGACAGAGTACCCTTGTCTTTGGTGCTGCCTAATCGAGGAGAAGAAATGTGGTCCAAACAGCTAAATAGCAGTGGTGATAAGTAGTACAGCACGCTGTTGCTTGGGGAGTGAGAGTGGACTTTAAGTCCTGGATTGTCCTCAAACTCTTGCTGGCCCTTCAGTGGCTGTTTACTGGCCTTTGGGGATTGAATTGGAGGGTCACTGCTGAGCTCATATAAGGCGAGCGTTTACTTCTAAAATATCCTCTCCTTATTGGCAGTCCCCCAGAGAAGTCAAGATCTGAACAGATCATTAGGACTGAAAAACAGCCCTGGATCCAAACTCCGGTCCTGAATAACTCAGAGCATTACAGAGGGGCTGAAAGGTCAGGCTTATTTCTGAATTTCAAGGCTTGAATTGGATGGTACAACAAATCGATGCCAATATGCCTGGTCCTGAGGCTCGCAGTTGAAGATGCTCTGCAGTGGGGCCCAATATATCTCTTACCCACAGAAATGACCCCTTCAGCTGGAGGTGGCGGAAGAGCATTGTCCTGTCACTGTCCGGGGCTGGGGCCGCTTCTAGGTGCGAAGTCTCCAGGATTCGTCTTCAAGTTCTCTCAGTACCTTGCACACACTAACGTTCAGTCTGTACTATTTACATTTAAAAAAAGAAACTACATTTGATTATTCAGCATTCTTCTTTTACATTTTTATTGTCCTTTGCAGAACTCCTCTGAAGGCCAGAGGAAACCTTTCTGCTTGATATCTTTAATATTTTAGCACTTCATAGTGTCTTTAGACAAAAATGTCCAACAAGCCCATGTGTTTTGGCAGCTCTGTTTGTGGCCTTTGTTCTGTCGCTGGCCTTGAGAAGCAAAAGAAGGAAAGGAAAAAAACCAAAACCCTTAAACTGGGTCAGCACTGTTCCGTTTATTTTATTTTATTTTTTTGATAGATCCATTTGGGATTTATGCACTGATAGAGGAGAAGCAGGGAAAAACATATGCCCCAAGCATATGTCCTTGAGAAACAATGTCACATCTTAATTTTCTTGGGCTGGCAATGCACGCATTCCACGCACTCTGTGATGTAGAACTAATGAAGATAGAAGTGCAAGAAAACCTATAATCAAATCCAGTGCATACCAGGCATAGCAATCCAAGAAGCACACCCGTCTGAAATCTCATGGTGCTAGAAGAAAAATCCAGGCCGCGCAGCCACGACAGTCCAGTATTTCTAGCTGGTGATTTTTTAGGCAGCGTTCTGCATCCACAGTAAAACAAAACCAAGCAAAAATGCTTCCTGGCATAGCTTTGTATCAAATATTTGCAACCAATGATATTTAGAGAGAGACTCAAGTACTCAGTTGTTAGAAAAGCCTGAAGGCGTGAACTGAACATTTTCTGCTGGTGGGTCAGGATCTGTTTCCCAGTGCTTTAATCCCGTGTATGTCCCAGGAGCTTTGCACATATGAACTGTGTATTGCTGGTACCATGGTGATGATTAGTAACCCCAAAAGAGACCAGAGTTTTTTTGCCCAGGGTTCTCTGTAAGCCCGGAGCGAGGGGGCTCCCCCACTGCACAGCACCGGGCAGTACTGCCTTCCCGGTGCCAGTACTCTCCTATCTGTCTGCTTCCACCTGTTTTCTTATGTTTTAGGCTATAAATTCCTCCCAGGAGAAGAGGTAAGAGTTTTTTTTCTTACATAACTGTGTGCACATAATGACTTACACAATGAGATCCTGGTCCCTGATGGGGGTTCCTGTGGTAGTGCCTATAGGAATAATAATAATAATCTAAACCAGCAGCTGGTGGGAGAGAAATAGAAAAGTTATGTGACTTTCCAGGGGTCACATAACAGCTCAGCGTCAGAGCCATGGAAATAAAATCCCTGCTTGTCCTGTCAGTCCAGTGCTCTGGGCTGGACTGGTTGGAGGACAGCGCGGGATGGTGGTGTTTCCTGATCTGGATTGATTTACAGTCTGTGCAGATCCAGGGAGAAAGAAAGGAATAACATAGATTGCTCCTTGAAACTGTGGATTGCCGTTTTTGCTGTGTTATTTTAAACTCTAACCTTAAAATCCTGTTAACCTTAAATCCTGTTAAACCTAACCTTGTAAATCTTGCTATCTTCTACCCCATACTATTGCAGCTCAGCTAATGTCTTAGCTGCCTTGTGCTTTAAGAAGGCGGCTAGCGGTTGAGGCATTAGCTCAGGAGTTGGAAAAATTGTTTCTTTTCCTAAGTCCTCATTGTTTTCAGAAATCCCTCATGTTACACCAGAAAG